GTATCTTTTCTGATTATAAATAATAATTGGTCAGCAATGCTATAAGAAGATATGTAATATATTCAATACGTAAATATGCTAGACAAGTACTTTGCTGAGGGACATAAGTGAAGAGTTGAATTAATGAAAAAAAAACCCACATATCTTTATCATGAATAGCAAGATCTGATATTATAAAGATAACTTCACTACTTGTTGTTAAGTACCGTGGAGTCGGTTCCGACCCATAGTGACCCTGCACAAGGTTTCCGAGGCTGTAAGTCTTTACGGCAACAGAACGCCTCATCTTTCTCCCGCGGAACTGCTGGTAGTTTTGAACTGCAGACCTTGACGTTGGCAGCCCGACTCCTACCAAGTACAATCCATAAATTCAATTTAACCAAACTCACAAGCCCCAAAGGATTTTTTTTTTTTTTTTGCATGCGAAAGGAATGTCTGAAGAAAAAAAAATTATTCTAGACTAAACTTTTAAGTGTGTGGAAGGAAGCATACATTAAAGAATACCTAGGGAAATTTTTATTAATTAAGAGAATAATGCCAAGAATATGTCTACTAAATATCAAAACATATTATTAAGCTACAGTAAATTCATAAAGGAGTCCTGGTGTGGTGCTGTGGGTTAATGCGCTGGCCTGCAAAGTCAGTTGGAGCTGCAATGTCTGCAGTTCAAGCTCGCCAGTTGCTCCTCGGAAACCCCATTCAGGGTCGCTATGGGTCGGAACCGACTCAATGGCACTTAACAACAACAGCAATTTCATAAAAGAACTGAAAAAAAAACAAAACAAAAAAAAACCCAACCCAGCTCATCTTTTTATAATCTTGAGATGAAGAAAGCATTTTAAGCAGAAGCCATAAAAGGACACTTTGATAAATGTGAGAATAAGAAATACTTTCATAGGACAATAAAACCATAAAAATATGATTTTAAACAAAGGGGCAAAGACATTTCAATGGAGAAAGGCTAGTCTTTCGACAAATTGTGTTGAAATAATTAGATGTTTATGTGCAAAAAATGAACCTCATGACTTATGCAGAAATTAGCTCAAGGAGAATCATATACTTAAATGCAAACAAAAATTCATTTATCATTTAGCAGAAACTGTAGGAGAAAATCTTCAGAATCATGATTCAGGTCAGAGGTGGGAAAGGAACATTTGTTCTGTCCATACAAAATTATCAACTTAAAAATTAGCTACTATGTTTGGTCAAATATTTAATTAACTCAACCCTAAGGTGATGGCTGGAACTGCGGAACCGACTTCATGGTACACTAGAAGGAGTACAAGTGTTAAAGGCAACGCAGGTCAAAGTCCTATCATATACACAATCTGTGAGTGGATACATTATAGACATGAAAACTGAGTAGGTATGGGAAGGAAATAGGACTATACCAACAAATATATACAGGTTTGATGGTGGTGGTGGTTATGTGCCACTGAGTCAGATACGACCTTGCAGTTCAAACGGCTTTGCAGTCTGACGCATTAACCCACAGAGCCACACCAGGACTCCGTATTTATATATACTGAATATATATTTATGGATATAATAGAGCAGTGATAGGTGCCATCCAGCCCATTCCAACTCATAGAAACCTCTGTACAACAACAAAACACTGTTCGTAGGCCATCTTCAGAATTGTTAAGTGTGAGCCCATTGTGGCAGCTGATGTCAATCCATCTCTTTGGGAATCTTCCTGTTTTTCACTGACTCTTGGGTGACCAATTACTGTTGGGTGCTGTTGAATCGGTTCTGACTCATAGTGACCAAGTATAGGGTTTCCAAGGTGTGGCTGATGGGGTTGGTTATATTTTAAAAAGAGACGCATGTCCTGTCATGTCTTGGATTTGTTTCCATATAAAGGTGGACACCAGAGCACAGTGGCTCCCTAGGATAAGCACTGGATTGACAAAGAATCACATGTTCAGCAGTTCAAGGCCACCAGTCACTCAGTGGAAGAAAGATGAGGCTTGCTGCTCTCACAACGACTTACATGCCTTGGAAACCCTATACTCCATGCATGTAACAATAACCATAGGTGGACACACAGTAGCTGTGAGTCACATACCTGCCATCATTACACTCTTCTGTTACTCTTATAGACACTTCTTCTTTTGCACACACCCACATTTTCTTTTTAAATGAAATCTCATCTGTTAAAGATGCCTTGGGAATGTAAGGAAATTCTGGGATGCAAACAATCATGTTGAGGCAAAATGCATGTGACTTCATTTATCTGGGGGGCAGGAGGGTATTTTGCTGGTCACCGATTGTGGAATACTGACCAACTCTGAAAGCTTCTGACCTGTAAGAAGGTCTTGAAGGAACAAACCGTCTTTGGTTTGGGGAAGGAGCAGGGGATCATTAGTGTTCTTCGCCCCCTGAAGGGTTGTCAGGCATAGCTCTTTGACGCGACAACTCCCAGCATCCAGCCCAGACATGGCCCTGTGCTGGTGAGTGTTGCAGCCGGGCCTCAGGCCTGTCCTGTAGGACCCATTGCAATGGGAAGGCTGCCCTAGGAGGCACCTCTTCTTCCGGGAAGTTGGACAAGATGACTGTTACAGGCTCCGCTGTTACTGAAGTTCTAGAAACTACATGCCCTTTTCTGCTGCCTTCCCCAGCTGGCAGCCATTCCTGACTCCCCAGCACCCTTTCCTCAAGTGTGTGTCTAGGGACAATGCTTCCTGGCTGGTGCTCAGCCTCCTGTCCTATGCCGTTGCCTCCTTCTGGTCACAGGAGATTTGAGCAGGAGTTAGACCGGCTCCTTTCTTTGGGCAGCTGGGCAGGCAGATCCATGAGCTCTCTAGCAATGTCAAAGACTAAACAGCGGAATTCCTCCTGGCGATCAGGGTGGGAAAGGGATTTGGAAAGGGGAATCTACTCATTTCATTATCAAAGTTGAAGAGGAAGGTTTGGGCTGGTGTGTGTGTGTGTGTGTGTGTGTGTTGCGCATGAAGGGGAATGGACACAGCGTCCTGATGGACCCCTGGGCCACCTCAGTATTACTCACCTTTAGTGTAAACGAAGAGGCTGGCCTGGGTGCTGTCTTCGTAGGCATCCTGCGCCTGCCAACCTGGGAATCTGTGTGCGCTCCATCGCTGGGCCACGGTTCTGCACAGCCTTGCCCCCCACCCCCCAGCACACTGCCTGGGGGTTACAGTGCTTTATACCAGCCTGAAGGATCAGCCAGGCCCTCCTCACCTTGAAAGCTCCCCAGACCCTTCACCCTCTGATCTCTTAATTGGGCCCAAACTTAGACCTCTTGGTTTCTAAAGTGAGCTGGGCTTGCTGCTGCATCTTCTGCCTCCCCATCCTGCTCTGTCTGGCCAGTAGAGCCAAGGACAGGGATTTTCAGATGGGGTCCGGGGAGCAGTCTAAACCCACCCCTGTCTTTCCCCTCTGCCTGCCACTAGAGCCCCCTCAGGTAGGACAGTTGAGTGGGCCTGAACTCCTGCCATGTACGCAGGGGGAACTTTGATGACGGCAAATCTTGCCTTCAGTCCCCACCCCCCCACCCCGAACACTAGAGTGTTTTGGTTACCAGACTGCTTGTCCAGGCCCTGGTGCAGGCCCCCAAGAAGGTGATGGAGGCTTGAGTTGCCTGAGCTCACAACCTTTCTCTGGGCTCCCTCAAGACTTCCCTTCAGAAAGCTAACCACCATAGAATGTCCCAAAGGGCTGTCTCCACCTGCCTCCTTCGCCTGCAGCTGGCACTTGCCTCTGTACCTGCTAACTGCCCAATTCCGCAGTCTTCCTTCCAATTCTAGCCGAGACCACCCTCGGGGAGCTTGGCCTGTCTCCTGTCTTCTGCCAGCCCCGCTTCTGCTGAAGTCCTTTGGGTTGTGCTCTTGACTTCCCCATTCCCGGCAAGCGTCCTGGCAGTTGGCTTCTCTCTGGCAGTGACGGGTCTACAAAGCTGTACTCACTGCCCATGGACACTCAGCCAGCTTTGCTGTCACTGATTGTTACAGGTTGATTTGTGTCCCCCTCCCCAATATGTATCCAAGTTCTAACACCTGTATCTGAGAACATGAGCTTGTTGGGAAACAGATTTGTCTTGTATGTTACTAAGTCATACTAGAGTAGGTAGAGTAGACCCTACCTCAAAGCCCTTGAGAGCATTGTCTTACACACAAGTGCTCCACATCAACTTGACAACAGTGGGCTTGCAGACACAGATGGTTGTGAAGACAGACGCTATGTGACGACAGAGGTGGATGCATCTCCAAGTCCAGGATCAAAAGGGAAAACACTGTATGCTTCTATTTATATGAAATGTCCAGAAGAGGCAAATCCATAGAGAAAGAAGATTAGTGACTGCCAGGGACTAGGGGAGGGGCGTATAGGGAGTGAGTGCTTAGTGGATACTAAGTTTCTTTTTGTGGTGATAGAAACGCGCTGAGATTAGATACCAGGTGGTGATAGAAACGCGCTGAGATTAGATACCGGGTGGTGATAGAAACGCACTGAGATCAGATACCAGAGAGGGTTACAATAAGAGTTGGAATCAACTCCACTGAACAGCTTTCTTACTCTTGTTGTTCAACTAAGTGCTCTCTGAGGACCCAGTCCAGTTCCCCCTACAGGAAGATCTCCTTGGTAGCCACTGGCACTCAAAGTCCCTGTCCTCAATCCTGGGACCCCCAAATGACTCATTCTTGATGGGAGGCCACAGTCTGTAATGACATCACCCACCATCATGGCGTCCGTGTCTATCCCCTGTGTGGTCCCCACCACTCTTGCAAGGTGGTATAATTATTGTACCTGTTTCACAGCCTGGGTCTCCAAGAGAGCAAATGGCATGTCCAAGGCTATAGGGTGCACCCTACTGCTTGGTGTAGCAAGGTCAGAGCCCAAGTCTTCTGGACTTTCACCTCCAGGGAGCTTTACCTCCCAAGGTCAAATAATCAGAGGGTCCAAAATGATGGGAGCTGGAAGTAGACTTCCTCCAAAATCACCTGCCCCACCTGAACCCTCTGAACATAAAACTTGTCCCTGAATTGCCCCACACTGGACAACTTGACTCCTCCAGGGTGGCCTTCTGTTCAAAGTCCAAGTGGTGGTCCATGGAGGAGGGGTGGGAAGTCTAGAAGAAGCTGGGACCCTGGTGATTCGCCCTTGACCTTGACCAACATTATGCTCAGTATTGATCCACTGATGCCCTTGGATAGAGAAGGATCTGACTCTAGATCCTGGCGAAGGGAAGGAGGAGGCAGGGGAGGGAGGCGTTCTGGCATTTTGTCTCTGTGGGTGGGGAGGAGCATGGGGGATAATTGAGGATTAGGGTTAACAGAAGATCAAGTCCCAGTTTAGCCAAAAGCAGATTACTGCCCTAGACCTCACCCCACACCTTGACCAGCATTGTGCTAATAAACACACTCGTGCTGGAGGCTGACCCACTGCCAGCTCACAGGGGGGTGGGGGGTGGGGGAGGGGTTGGCAAGCTGACCCCAGAGTCTTGTGAAAGGTGGATGCAGGAGAAAGGGGCATTGACAGGGTAACTGAGGACCAGAGCAGCAAGAGGGACAAGAAAGAGGTGAAGAGGCTGGAAAGAGCCCGAGTTTGGCCACTGCTCTTGGAGAAACAGGACACCCAAGGGTGCCCTTTGCCAGCACAAGCCACCAGAACAAAGGCCACCTGGATGGGCCTTCTCAGAGGCTGTCCTCTGTCCCAGGAAATTAGTTCCCAGACTTGCCTCAAATCCAACTACTCCAAAGTGACTCTGAGCATGTGGGAGATCAGATTAGGAGTCACGGGGTCCTTCTGAGTCTGCTCTGGGCTCCTGCATCCTGCAGGCCCAGGGTTTGAGCATCAGTAGTCCGTGGTGGCCGCAGCTGCAGACACACAACCATTCAGCTACTTGCCTTCTTTCCACCTTCGTATTTAATTATTTTTATATACATTGGATTTTAATGTGTACAAGGTCTTGCCCATCTTGTGCCAAAAGTTTTCCCCTTCCCTGAAGGCCCTCAGAGGACATCGAGCCTAAGAACTGATGATTACGCTCAGTCTCTTCTCCAAAGACCCTACCCTTCCAACCTCTGCCGCATCTGAGCTGTGAGGCGGAGCCACTTGCTCTCCATCTCTTGAGCTCAGTGTCCTCGTCTGTCAGGTGAGGGGGACATTTCCTTGCTATGAGGTTAAATGAGCTTATTTTTAAGGGAGGTCCTAGTACCGTATTTGACACAGAAAATCCAGCCAACAAGTCATTCTCAGGCACCTACTGTGTGCCTGGCTCTGATCTAGACATCTGGAAGCCGCCATTTCCAGGGGGTAGAAGAACGACAAACCATAATAAACAGATAGTCAAGCGGCACATGGAGAAAAGGAATATAGGATAAGGAGGTTGGGAGGCCAAGGTCGGGGGGAGATGGATGCCCGTTTCCATAGAGCATCGGGTGGGCCTATCTGAGCAGGTGACAGGTGAACCAAGACAGGAAAGAGGGAGGGAAAGAGCCAGGCAGCAGAAACAGCAAATGTAAAGGCCCTGGGGCAGTAGAAGAGGGGATGGAAGTCACGTGGGGCCTACAGACCACCTTGAGGATAGGGGCTTTATTTTAAGGAGGTGGTAAGCATTGCAGAATTGGGAATCAAAAAGTGATGTGCTCTGATGAAGAATTTGAACACTGCTTCTCAGGGCCAGGGCCCAAGCAGATAGACCAGGCAAGAGGCTCCTGGCATGACCCAGGTGAGACATGGTGATTGGTTCGACCAGAGAGTGGACAGTGGGATGGGAAGAAGTGGTCCAATTAGGAATTGCTTTAAAATTTTAAAACAGTTAGCATTTGACCATTTTAAAGTGGCCTTCAATACATCCACAAGGTTGTACAGCCGTCACCTCTGTTTAGTCCAGAACACTGTCATCCCCCAAAGGAAGCCCATCTGCTGGCAGTCACTAATCGGCTGTCTGGGTATATGGGTTTCATGATTGTGGCCAATCCATAGAAATGGAACCCTACCGTATGTGGTCTGTTATGTCAGGCTGCTTTCACTCAGCATGCTGTTTTCAGGCACATCCATGCCTTAGGACGTCACCTCTCCTTATGGAGGAACAATATTCTGCTGTATGGATGGATCACTGTTTGTTGATGCATTCATCTCGTTTCTTCACCTTTTGGTTACTGTGAATAGTATTGCTATGAAAACTGGTGTACACATCCGTTTGAGACCCCACATTCAAATCTCTTGGTTAGAGACCTAAAAAGTGGAATTGCTAGAGTCCTGGTGTGGTGCTGTAGGGTACTGCACTGGGCTTCGAGGTCCGTTCGAACCACAAGGTCGATGGTTCAGATCCACCAGCTGCTCCTCAGAGACCCTATACAGGGTCTCTATGAGTCAGAACCGACTCAATGGCTCTTAACAACGACAACAATATGGTAACTGTGGAATCCTGGTGTGGCGTTGTAGGATAAGCACTGGACTACTAACCACACAGTTGGCGGTTCAAACCCAGCAGCCACTCCTTGAAAACCTGAAACAGGGTCTCTACAAGTCAGAGCCAACTCAACAACCACGAGGGTCTGGAGCCATGTGGTGCCGTGGGTGAGGCTGGGCTGCTAATCTTAAGGTCAGCAGTTTGAACCCACCAGCCACTCCAT